CCCTGTGGATGCTCGGCGCTGGCTTCTCCCAGCAATGACTCAGTGAGACACTCTTGTTTCAGGAACCGCATGGGCAGGCCCGCCACTCCCTGGCCAGCCTCCTGCATCCAAAACAAACAGTCTGGCAGCGGCATGTGGGCACCGGGACGGAGGACAGCAGGGCACTTGGGGACAAGCAGGAGAGCTTCCAGAGGAAGTCGCTCCTTGTCAGGAGGCAGGGACGACGGACCAGGATGGGCAGACACCACCATCAAAGCTTCTCGCTGAGCACTTACCACAGACCAAGCCCGTCTTCACAGCCTGAGGTCAGCAGAGGGACCATTTGTCCAGTAAAGGAAAGAAAGCTCCAGGACACAGGCCACCATGCCTCCTGGGCCTTGCACTCAGGGCTGAGGCTCTAGTCAAGACACGGCTGCCACTGTGAGGAAATCAGGATCCTCTATCATAGGTTACAGACACACCTGAGTTAAAGGTGGGGAGCAGTGGGGTCACAGAGGAAAGAGGCCACTACCCCCTGAAAACTCAGAAAATGATCAATTTTGAATAGCAGACAGATTTTTATTCATGAGAGATTAGGGATGAAGGGAAAAGCCATTCTGGGCAGAGGAAGCCACAGGAAAAAAGATGAGAGGAAATGACCTGAATGTCCATCAACAGGTGAATGGAAAAATAAATCGTGGTTTACCCATACAGTGGAATAGTACTCAGTAGTGAAAAAGACTAAATGATTGATAAACACCACATGGATGGGTCTCAAAAATAGGCTTACCAAAAGAAGCCACACACAGAAGAGCACTAACTATGCAACTCCATTTATACAAAATTCCAGAAAATGCAAATGAATCTATAGTAACAGAAAACAGGCCAGTGCTGACAGTTGGGTTGGGAGAGGCAGGAGGAAAGAATGATAAAAGGGTAGAGGAAGGACACTTTGGGGGTGAAATGTTCCTTATCTTCCGGTGATGTCTTCACAGGTGTATTCATAGGTCAAACTTATCAAATTGTGCTCTTTACATGTTACTGCATCTCAATGACACTCAGTAAAGCTATCTTCACACACTAAGGGCTAGAGTGGTCTGGATGTGAGAACCCCCGGCCACTGGAGGAGCCTAAGAAGGCTCTGAGGCCAGGGCAAGGTTGTGCCAAGGAGTTCAGATCTTACCTGAGGCAACTGGGAGCCATGGAAGGCTGCTTCCCTGCTCGGAGGCAGGAGTGGCAGCACCTGGCATTTGGTGGATATGGGGCCAGAGGACAGGAAGGAGTCTCAGGAGGTGAGCAGGTTACTTTTCGTGTGACTGGAAGAGGGGAACACAGCAGGACTGCACTGAGAATTCACAAGGGAGGTGGCTTTTCTGGACAGGGCCTTAGTCCCTGGCTTCTTCAGGGACTAAGAACAGCTTGAAGCTTCCTCTGCCCCTCGGGTCATAGAGCTACAGAGCACTCCAGCCTCTCCGGAGCCAGCCTGAGGCGCTTCACCAATTCCTTCAGCCTGGCAGTGGGCAGACATGGTAGGCCCACCTAGCTGCCAGCCCAGCCCTATTCTCATTCTGACAAGGAGGCCTAAATCCCAAGCAAGCACCCAGGGGAAGTTCATGGGAAGAGCCTGGACCTGGAGTGGGGAGCCCTGTGCTTGACTTGGGCTCTTTCTTCCTCTTAGCTTCAGTTTCCTTATCTACCAACCAAGGTGGATAAGATCCTGGACCCTCAGCCCTGGCTGTGCATTAGAATCAACCGAAGAGCTTTTGAACAGATGCTGCAATGAGATTCCATTACATGTCCATCAGAAGGGCTAGAGTGAAAGTTTGGTGAGAAGACAGAGCCCCTGGAACTCTCTGCTGGGGGGAGTGGAATTGGTGTAGCACTCCGGGCAGCAGTATGTTTATAAAGTTAAGTGTACTCTTATCCTGTGACCCAGGAACACCACTTGATATGCAAGGGAAAAGAATACCAACATCCACCAAAGTGGTCCACAGAATGCTCCAAGCAACTTTATTCATAACAGCCCCTCACCGGAAACTCCAACATCCACCCACGGGAAAGCAGATCAATTGTGCTTTTTTTACACAATGGAATATTACCTACAATACAACACACACTGACCTAGATCCGTTTCACAGATATAATGTTGAATAAAAGAAGTTAGGACCCCAAAAGTATATAACCTACTATGTTATTATAGGAAGTTCCAGAACAGGCAAAACTAACTTAGGATGATAGAAATCAGAACAGGGTGAACTTTGGTTGGCATAGGAATCTTGTGAGGTGTTAAAAATATATCTTGCTCTGAGTGGTGGATACACAGTTTATTGAGCTTTATACTTAAAATTTGAGGACTTTAAGCTGGGCATGGTGACACATGCCTATAAACCCAGCTACCTGGGAGACTGGGGCAAAAGGATCACATGTTGCAGGCCAGTCCCAGAAATTTAGTGAGGCCCTGTCTCAAAACAGAAAGGAGGGGCTGGGGATATAGCTCAGTTGGTAGAGTGATTGCTTAGCATGCACAAGGCCCTGGGTTCAATTCCCAGCACCATAAAAAAAAAAAAAAAAAAAAAAAAGCCCAGAAAGGACTGGAAATGTAGCTCAGTATAGATCCCTGGGTTCAACCCTCAGCATCACACACACATGCACACAGAGTTGTAGACTTTTAAGACTTTAAGTTAAGTCTCAAAACAAAAAGAAGAAGAAAAATAGAAGCCAGTTCCTGAGAGCAGGGATTCTGAGTGAACTCTTGTAAAGCATCCCCAGTGACGACTGCCCAGCAGGGCTTCAGGCCCCTAGCATGATCTCTCTTGAACACCTTGCTTCTCCAAGCTGCAGGGCCTGGTGCACAAGGCAGCTGGGACCTGGTCCTGGAATGTGCATCTGCAGGGTCCCAGGAGGAAGCAGGTGCAAGGCACTCTTTTACCTGAAGGAAGTCTTGCATTAAGTGCTGGTGCAGAGCTGCCTGCTGCAGTCTCCAGCACGGGGCAGCCTGGCTTTGTCCCCAGCCACCCTGCAGACTTCTCAGAGCCAGCCCTTGCAGAGCTGTACACCTGCTCTGGGTGGGGGCCCAGGCTTGGCATCTCTGCTCACCCCTCAAGAGCCTGCTAAGAGGGCAAGAAAGCTGTGGTCGAAAGGAGCCACAGTGGACTGGTGAATAATTGTGAATGGAATCATGCTGCCAACTTCTGGTTCTCACAGCTGCAGATGGGAGATCACCCTGGGAATTCTGAGTGTTGTTCTGTGCTGACTGCAGCTTCCATTGTTGGGCTCTGATTACAGCTTTTGTTTCACCATAAAGTACAGTTATTAAATGCCAGCCTGAACAAAGATGTATTTACACGCCAGGGGGTCGGTGGAGGCAAGCTATTTTTAGAGCTGCCTCTGCTGTTGGGGTGGGGGTGGGGCAGTTGTGGGGGAGGGGAGCAACCTGGAGCTTTTATTTTTATTTATGTATTTACTTTTCAGTACTGGAGTCCGGGGAGCCTTTAGGTGAAAGCGAAGTGTTTCTGAGGGAGCCAGGGAGGATTGAAACCATCACAGTCCTGCCCTGGCATCTTGGGTCCCTCCAAGGCAGGCTCTTCTCCTTCCCCAACATCAGACCCACCCATGTTAAATTCCCCAAGATCCTACACTGTAATCCCATCTCAGTCATCCTGATACGTAATCAATCAAATAAGTCCTAGGGCTGGGGATAGAGCTCAGTTGGTAGAGTGCTTGCTTCACATGCACAAGGCCTTGGGTTCAATCCCCAGCACTGTGGGGGAGGTGTGAATCTAGAACTTTCCTACTGCCTCAGCCAGCCTTGGCAAGGCAGGCTCAGGAACTGAGCTAAGCACTAACTGCTGCCGTTTTACCTGGCCAGGCTGAGAAGCAGGAGCTATTGTCATCTACTTTACAGATGAAGAAATGTTAGAGCCCAATGAAATACCCTGGGTCGGAGCCCACGGTGGCCCCGGAAGCTGTGATTCTGTGCTTTTCTTCCTTGGGGGGGTCAAAGCACAGGTTGCAGCCAGCCTTTAGGGACTCTGGGGGCATTTGTTCTTGTTGTGGAACATCAATAACCTCCTCTGGCGAATGGAGATAGAAGAAAGAAGCCAGTGGCCTTTGACTAAAGGAGCAGGACAGGTCAGGGCAGGGTGTGAGCTCCTCTTTCCATAGGCCAAGGAGCTTGTGAAGCCAAGATGGGCTCATCCCCAGTCTCCCTCAGCTTCTAGAATGTTCTGCAGTTCAACACAGCAATTAGCCACCTAGCTGGGGCTCTGGATGATAGCCTTGACTTCAGAAAACCTTGCTCTTCAAGTCCGAATGACACATGGGTGCAAGAGTGTACGTGTTTGGATGATAGTGGGTAATCCTGCTCCTCAATTTTAGGGTTTACCAGTATCCCAGAATGCCATATGTGGTCAGCACAACACAGATCATAGGACTTCTGGGGAGCTTCAGGACCCCAATACTACCAGGACATTTACTATCACATTTGTCCAGATGTTTAGGGTTAGGCTTCTTATTGCTGGATGATCTGAGGGTCAGAAAGACCTGGTTCTGCCCTCCACAAGTCTTGGAGGCATCACCTCCCCCAACTCCCACTTTTTTCCTTTTGTGGGTTTGGAGCTCAGGCCAGACCCAGCCACCCTGCAGACTTCTCAGAGCCAGCCCTTCAGAAATCCTATTCTTGACATCTGTAAGCAAGAAATATGGGCAGTCCTTCATGTTCTTTCCTGAAGGAGGACTGTGGTCAGCTCTGGGAAGTAAGAACTGGCCGTAGGACACTCCAGTCATCTCATCTGTAGTCTGAGCAGGTCCCTTAACTTGGCCTGCCCTGGGTAATTAACCTAGGACCGTCCTCCCTGTCACTAGGTTGTTGGTGGTCGGGAAGCCTCCTGGCTCCAGTCACAGAAGCAACGCTCTGACCCCCGCAGGGTCTGGTTCCATTTTACACTAAAAAATAGGGAAGAGCTTATTTTTAACTCTCTGCTACTCCATTTTTGGAGGGGACACAAAAGAACAAAGCTGGGTTCAGAGAGCGTACTGTTCATGTTTATTCTTGTTTATTTTAGTTCTGATTTCTTGTAAGGGCTTGACTTCTGGAATTGTTCCTCCTGTTTAACTCCATCCATAAAGCGAGTTTGTGGCATTCATCGTTCAGCAGATGTACCTGTTTGAGGCATTAAGGTTTGACTAGAACAGAGAAGATCTCTGTCCACGTGGAGACTACATTCTAGGACAAGCAGAAAATAAACAAGATAAATGAAATTATATATATATATATATATATATATATATATATATAAAATATGTAAGATATATATTATACATACATATGTAAAAATAAAGTGGAGAAATGAGATACAATATGTGCACAGGAGTGGGGAAGTCAAATACTGTGTTAGAGAGGCAGCCAGAGCTCAGTGACCTTCCCTGAAATTTTGTATAAAGTAAATGCCTTCTTAAAGGGGCTGATGTCTTTAGGGAGGACCCAGGGCCCATGCTAAGCATGAGGAAAGGGATGAAGAGATGTTTTCTAGTGAAACACTCAAGTACTTTATATGTGCAAAGCACCATGATGACAATGACAGTGATGTTCTAAAGGTAAACTGCTGGTCCTTGAATTCAGAGTTTGTCCTTTTCCTTCTGATAACAAAGATCGATGGAATATTCCATCCTGCCTCAGTGCCTTCGTTGTGTCTTTAGTTTCTTGGTTTGCTTTCAGACTGTAATTTCAACAGGGAAATATTCCACATTTCTTTCTTTTAAGTAACACTGAAAGCACTGTTATGTAACAAAAACCTCTCCATCCAAAAAAAAAAAAAGATGAAGAAAAGCAGAGACAGCTTTTTTGTTGTTGTTGTTTGTTTCCTTCTTCTTCCTTTCCTCAGTCTCTGTACTTACTGGCTGATCAGGAGCTGTCAAGTTCTGCCTCAAAGCAGCCCTGGGATTACCTTGCTGTGTGGTTTTGGGCAAACGGAGTCATTTCTCTGGCTTCCCTCATTGTATACAGATTTGGTGCTGAAAGTCAAACAATATTTGGGGTTTCTTTTTTTGAAGGGGTAGTACTAGGGATTGAATTCAGGAGTATTCAGCCACTGAGCCACATCCCCAGCCCTGTTTTGTACTGTATTTAGAGATAGGGTCTCACTGAGTTGCTTAGCACCTCAGTTTTGCTGAGGTTGGCTTTGAACTCACCTCCATCTGCCTCAGCCTCTTGAGCTGCTAGGCTATATTTGGGGTTTCTTTTTTTTTTTTTAAATATTTATTTTTTTAATTTTCAGCGGACACAACATCTTTGTTTGTATGTGGTGCTGAGGATCGAACCTGGGCCGCAAGCATGCCAGGCGAGCGCGCTACCTCTTGAGCCACATCCCCAGCCCCTATTTGGGGTTTCTTATACAAAAAAAAGAGCAAAGGAGCAATATTATACTTCTCAGTTGATGATGTCAAATGGTAGAAACAATTAGGAGAATGATTCCCTCTGCATCCAGAGGGAGTTGGAGGCTCTCTGCCTCAGTGGTCTGATTTCAGGGTTAGGGTTTTCAGATTAAAAAAATCTGTTAAGTATGTCTCAAATATCCCATCTGGAATCTTCTAGGATTCTAGAGCTAAAAAGCTAGAGACTTCTTCCAGATCTTCAAGCCAGGAAAGCCCACCCAGTTCAAATGCCTGGAGGAATCAGGTGACATCTGGATTTTTACGTGAAAACTCTTATTTTTAAATATCAGCCACACATTTAGTTAAACCAACACAAACTCATTGTGTGGATCAAAGAAAACAGTCTGCTCATAGACTCTGGTGAGGCCAAACCCTTTCAACCATTATTCAGATGAGGAAATGAGGCCCCAAGGAGCGACAAGTGTCATTAAGGTTGCATGGGTAAAAAGATTTCTGGGAAGACGACAGAATAATCACCTGGGAGGAAAGGCAGCTGAGGAGGAAATCTGAGAGCCAGCACTGGAACATTCCATGCAGTTTGCAAGGTGTGCTCACCTTCGTCAGTTTATCCAACTCTGAGAACGGTATGTCCTACCTCAGGACATTGTCTCCTGCACCATCTTCACATAGAAAGGATGTTCTGAAAGGTTTTGAAAAAACATTTGGAGGGAGAAGAATGTGATCTAAGGTTGTGCACGGAGAAGAAACAAACACAAAATTATTCAGAGTCTAGTGTGTGCTATGTACCGAGAAAATTATAGTATGTAATTCTTCTCTAACTCTTAGTATCTTTGAAAGATTCTCATTCTTCAGATTTTGGCTCAAATATCACTTCCTCAGAGATTTTTCCCTGACCACCCTTTCTGACACTACCTTTGCAGTTTGTCCGGCTCTTCACCGCATTAAAATCTTTAATGATCTTGCTGGCTTCTGGACTAGCTCCCCTTACCTACCGCAGGATCCCTGAGAACGGTACCTGGCACATGGTAGGTGCTCAACAAATATGTTATAAACATTTGAGAAGACATCCGCCCTTAAAGAATTTCGACTAATTCTTTAAGTTTCGCGTAGCCACCTATACTATTAACAGCATTCTAATTAGGAGGTGGAGGTGCATTTCTAAAGGAGAAAGAAGTGGTTAAGAGCGAAAAATTGTGCTCAGAGGTAGAAAGCACTTTTCTCCAAATCACACTGCAGTCTGTGAATTAATGCCTTCCGTACCGACTGTGAGACGGTTTGCAAACAAATTTATCTGCAAGCGAACGAAGCTTCATTTTAAAGATCCTTGCGCCTCGCAGCTCCGGGCGATGACATCAGAGAACCCGGAGTTCCACCTCCAAGCCTAGCCTCGAGGTCCTTGAGAACTACGCATCCCAGGATGCACGGCGGCGCAGGGGCCCGCACTCCGCGCGCGCCCCGCCCCGGCGCGCCCCGGAACGCGCCCTGGAACCAGGAAGACGTCCGACGCCCGGCTCGCCAGGCCGCTGGGCGCGCGCGGGGCCTGCCGGGACTTGGAGTTCTCGCGCACTGGGAGTGCCCGCTCCGGAATCTCAGCCGCCGTCTGGGGGCTAAGGCGACGCGGCCGCGCGTGCGCAGTGCGCGGGCGGGCCGTCGTGGGCGCCGCTGCCGGCCTCTGGGTGCCTGTAGGAACCGGGGCCGCGGCGGCGCGGGTGCTCCGGGCCAAGGCCGCGGTAAGGTGGGGCGTGTGGAGCGCGGCCGCGCCGGGGCGGGCGAGGAGGGAGACGAGGCCGGATGCGGAGCGAGGCGGCGGCGAGCGGGAGGCGGCCGGGCGACCGCCGCGGGGCTGCCGGGCCGGTGAGCGCCGGGCCGCGCCCCCTCCCGCGCGCCGTGCACCTGACGAGGCCGCGGGGCCGGCTCACCTGCGCGCGGGCTGCGGGCGGCGCCGGGCGGGCGGGCAGGGCGGGGGCCGCGGAGCCTTCGGTGCCCTCGCCGGGAAGCGCGGCGGCCCCTCCCTCCCTGTCTCCGAGCAGCGCCCGGCAGCTGTCCGGGGATTCCCGGCGGCGGCGCCTGTCGAGTGGCGCGGCTCCAGGTCGCGCCCGGCCGACGGCGCTGGGCATCCTCATCCGGGCATCGACTGCGCCTTCCCTTCGGGGTCGCCCCGGCGGGCGTCGCGCAGGCGGGGTGACTTGCCCTCGCGCTGCAGGGGTGCAGACGGCCAGTGGGAGAACCGACTGGTTTGCCCAAGGTCACGCAGGTGGGACCAGGGAGGCGACCCGGAGCCGGGTCTGGGGGCTTTGACGCCAGCCTGCAGCAGCCGCCGCCGCCGACGGGCGGCCCCGCGGGGTTTGTGGTTTGTTTCCGATGCTTTCTATTGACCTCCGGGTGGACGAGCCGAGGGGAAAGTGGTGTCTTAACGAAAGCGGTCCTGCTCTGCTCTCCAGGTGTTGGCAGCCTTTGTGGGTTCTAGGTGGGCTGCGCCGCCCGGCCGAGCGTCGAGGGCGGGTGGCAGTTCCCAAACTCGATTGCTCTGTTGGGGGCAGGTCCAAGAGCAGGTTTAAGGAGCCCTTGTTCAGGCAGTTTGTGCCATTTTCGCCTTCGAGTCCTCTGTAATAACTGGTTTCTTTACTTTGCTGTTGATGGCTGTTTGCTTTAATAAGATTTTCTTTGCCTTAAGTAAGTCACTGCCCTTTGCAAATTAGTTTTCTAACAAGAAAATCTTATTTCCTGTGTGTTTAATGACTGGAACAAGTAGCACACTCTGAGGTTTCTACCATTGTCTTTCATCTTGGAACTACTGAGCGATCTGCATTATTTCCCGCCGAGTACCCAGCGCACATACTTTCTGTGTTTAATGCCATTAAAAGAATTTGCTGCAAAATTTGGGTGAGTGGTATGTGATTCAGAGAAAAACTTCGGAGAAAAAAAAATTCACAATTTTGTAAAACTATTTTCCTTTGGAATCTGAAGAACTTGAACCATTATTTCAGAAATATTAAGACTTATCCTAAGATACCTGTTACTTTTCATACTTCAGTTTTTTTCATATTGACACATTTGAGGCAAAAAATATTTCCGCAAATAAGTTTGTGTGAATATACCTGATCTGGTCAAAATCTTCCTAAGAGACATTACGTTTTAGACTACTGATACACTTAAACAGGAGTATTAAATTTGGCAGAATGGCAGTTAATTTATTTTATAGTGCTATAAAATGGACAACGTATCCATTGACAGGTTTCTCTTGAGAGTAAACTGCATCAAGGTATATGGCTGTGGATTTGTCTTTTGGGCTAAGCAGAGGAAAACTTCTGCATCACTAAGATGTGACAAACGTGTTGCTTTCATCTCACTTTATCTTGTTAATTTGTAGTTTTGTTTTAGTTGGGGTGTGGGGGTGGGGAGCAGGTTTTTGTCTTTTTTTCTTTCCAGATTTAGCGATGTAAGAAAGTAGAAAGAGGTGATAGTAAATTTGAGTTTGTCTTAAACTAGGAAAGACAGTGGAACAGGATAAGTATACAATTGTGAGGAAACTGCCATGAGTTCATAAGCCGGAAGGACCTTTTTAGAAGCATTTAAGGTTGTTAAGAATAGCATTGGGTTTTTTCTTTAAAAAGTCATTGTGGGCATTATTCAAATGCTGGTTGATAATCTCTGGGATGTAATGTTATTGAAGATTCCCAGGAAGATACTTGGGAAAGGCGGAAACATTTTACATTTTCAGAGGGCCTTTTTCCTTAAAAATACTTGCTAGAGCTTTTTAAAAATTGACATTATTGCCTGAGCCTGAAAGTTTTTAATTGTTATTCATAGTCATACTCCAAATCCCACAGTTTATTTGCCTGTATAATTTGTAACCCAGAGTGAAATTTAAGCAGAATTTATAAGCATAATTTAAGTTGAATTTTTACATTGATGTTTTTTGCTTAATGTTAGTTACTCTTATTTTTGTATAAATAAGCCTGTCATTTAAGAATGAGGGAGATTGGGGCTGGGGCTGTAGCCAAGTGGTAGAGCGTCTGCCTCTCACATGTGAGGCACAGGGTTCGATCCTCAGCTCCACATAAAAATAAAGATATTGTGTCCATCTACAACTAAAAAGATGTTTAAGGAAAAAAAAAAGAATGAGGAAGATAGTTTTGTCAATAGAATGTACTAATTATTCAGATGTGACAATAGCTACATTTTGTTTTTATTAGATAAAAAATTATCTAATTTAGTAGATAGAAAATTTTGAATACTATAACAGTAACTGCCTTAAGTACTTCTCCCTTGTGCCAGAACTGTGAGCTGAGGTAATACACAAATTTTTTAAAACATGCTTGAGCAGTGTACTTTTGGTAATATTAAAATGTAATTTTTAAATTTCAAGATTTTTTTAAGCCTAATTTCAGGTCTGCAATAAGTGGATTCAGAATATAAATATTAAAATTTAGTTTTAGAGATTTTTTTTGACCATTTGTGAATACCCATCCTTTAGAAACTTACTGACATGGCGTCAGAAAGAACTTCATGGAGCAGGGGCTTTTGGTAGCTTCCAGTGCTTGTCTATAATGTTTATATAATTTTAAAAACATACATATGGGATGTTTTTATGTGAAAATAAAGTTCACATTGGTATTTGCTGAAGCAAAGTCACTTTTTAAAAAGCTTTAGCAAGTATTTTTAAGGAAAAAGGCCCTCTGAAAATGTAAAATGTTTCCCGCCTTTCCCAGTATCTTAAAATTAATGAGTAGTAAAACTGTTGAAGTAATATTTTTTCCTTGTTCGTACAATGTGCATTTGTAATTCCTAGAAGATATTTAAGCAAACATTTGTTTACTGTTTATTTTAGAATAGCCTTTTTGACTAGTTGAATAGCTTTGCTTCAGAAAGATACTGTTTTGGGGGATTTTTATGTTAAACTTTCTTTGAACTGAAATTTTTGTTCAGTGTAAGAGAATTAGAGTCATTTAGGATTTTTAATTGAATATGGTTTAGAATAAAATATTATTCCCAAATGCAGCTCTGTCAGACTTGTCCATCTGATAGCTCTTTATTCTCCCAAAAGTTAGAGTTTTACTAAATCTTTAGGCATCGTATGTTTTTTATAGTTTTTAACCATTGAGTTCTAGATTCTGGATTCATTTAACCTCTTCTTGAAGAACAGACAGTAGAGTTGAGCAGTTTCAGAGAGCTTCTAGCGTAGTTATTACGCAGTACAGTAAATCACTCTTGAGAATTCCCACGGCATGTGTTCCTTCCCATTCGTGTGTCATCGAGGTACTGAGCAGTCCAAAACTGGTGCAAACAAAAAGACAGTTTTAACTTTCACCATTCACTGCTTTCAACTGTGCTTTGTAGGATCTTCTTCTCCCTCCTCCCTCTGCTTCATGACATCATGGGTAAATGATAGCTTTTCTATCATTTACAGCTATTAAAAGCTCCAGTCTATTCTAGTTTAAACCTTCAATCTCATATTCAGTTTAGAACTCCTTTCCTCCCTTACTCAGGGTCTGGCTGCGGCAGCACTTGGGGAAGGGGGGATTGTGGTATGCTCTAGGATGCCTCTTTTCTCTTAAGACATCTACTTGGACAGGAATTACTCAGAAGAGAAATGGAAAAAGGCAAGTATTTCTTACCAGTTTCTCCTAATCCCTCCACCTCCTTTATTTGTGTGTGTGTGTGTGTGTGTGTGTGTGGACACGTACTAGGGATTGATCTCAGGAGCATTCTACCTCTGAGATGGTCCTCAGACCATTTTATTTTTTGAGATGGTCTCACTCAATTGCCCAGCTTGGTCTCAGACTAGTCATCCTCCTGCCTCAGCCTCCCAAGTCGCTGGAATTATAGATATGTGCCGTCACACCCAGCTGAGATATGAAACTTTGTTGGGTCTAAAGGTCTCTTGATTAACGATGGCAGGCCATTGATATCCACTGGTGAACAACCACACTGACGTTTTTGGTGAACTCTTGCCAGGAGACTCCCTACTGCACATAGTTCCTGGGTATGAAATTCTCTGTAGCTAAACCTTTTCCAACCCACACACCACTTGTCTATTCCTGTGAATGTGGAGTGTGGGTGAGTTTGGGTGAGGATCTTTTTGCTCTGCAGATTTTTTGATAATGGCAAGACTGCTCAAGTATAAGTGCTTTTGCATTTCCCCCTAATCCCGCTGAAAACTCACTTCCTCTGATGCCGTATGATGTCTTATAGACTGCATAAGTAGTGCCCTTTTTCTGTATCCTTCTACTTCCCATCCATTCTCCTTGTTCCCCTGTTCAAATAGGCAGGCAGTCACTCAATCTACCCAATATTTAGACACTGAAATGGAGGATGAGATGCCAGTCTCTCCTCCTTCTGGGGACTTTGATCTTAGTGAGTGATTTTTCTTGGAGGCCTCCACCTCTGTTTTTGGGTGAACACCACCTTATGACTCCTGTGTTCTCTCTGAAGACTTGGAAGATATCTAATTCTTTCCTCTCCTCTGCCACTTGCTTCCATAGAGGGCAGGTGGTGGTTAGGGTGCCAGGGCCCTGAGGTGTTTGTGTGTAGGGAGATGAGGGGGCCAAAACACCACAGAGATTTGATCTTTTTTTTTTTTTTTGGTACTGGAGATGGAACCCAAGAGTGCTTTACCACTGAGCTACATCCTCAGTCCTTTTTATTTTTTATTTTGAGACAGTCTCACTAAGTTGATGAGGATGGCCTTGAACTTGCCGTCTTCCTACCACAGCCTCCTGAGTTGCTG